TATGAAATGTATGGTGCAGCTAGTGCAAGACGAGCTGTAGTGCAAATGCAATTCACAGTTTTTTGTCACGAGTCCTAGAGTCAGCAAATTATAGGCCATAGGGAATTGACTGTTCCATTAACTGCTCAAGATAATACCTTTAACCTGTCAGACATAATAGGAACTCTGCTGTGTCCAAACAATAAAAACGCAAACCATTTAGAGCCGTAAAATGCTTTTCTGTGCTGCTGACTGATGGTTCTCGCATTCAGAGCTCTCTCCGTGAAACCTCTGAAGGTCTCCAACTGTACGGCTGCCACTGCTGCTCTGAAAAAGGTGCCTTTAAGCCTTCCAGAATCATCTGGACTCGGAGGTGAAATGTTTAGATAAAGCGTTAAAAGGAATCCAATAGCGTTCGCAGTCTAGACATGCAGAGCGCTCTGTCACTAAGTAATGTAATTCCAAGCTTCATTAGGACTGTGAAGTTTATCATTTGTCATCAAAGCCAGCTGTCAATAAATAATTAGGCTGTAGATGAAGAGGATGAAATATTTAGGTAGGGAAAAAGATCTGTGTACTCTCAGAATATAAATAACTCGTTTTGCCGGATTTGCCCCTGTAAAGAGAGATATTAAAAATCAGTCAGACTATTTTAATCAGAACCTTTACATTTAACATACAGCAATCAAAAAAAGGAAAATCCTAATAGAACAGGAACTCTCATGTGGCCAATACGTAAGGCTTGCCCCATTATCTTTAGGCCTAATTTAATCTTTATTAATAAGTCAATCTCATGTCACTGTTCTGATATTTCACTAAGAGAGACTCAGTCGAGAGAGAGAGAGGAGGGTAATGAAGAGGTAGAAAAGGGAGGGCAAAAAAGGGAGAGTGGAGGAGAGAACTCTATCCTGGTCCTGTATTATCTTTGTGTGTCCAGGCATCATACCGCTGTCACATTTAATTTGCGCTGGAGCCAGAGGCACAGCATCTCTCTCGCAGGCAAAGAGGAACGTTGTGCGCTTCCGTCCGCAAACAATCGGTAAATAAAACGCTAATGGGGCTCTGACAGTTATGGACGAGGAATGAAAAATGTAGGGGGGGTGGCGGGCAGGGGTTCGATTGCTGACATCCTATCTGCCATAATTACTTTCTGCTGAGTGCTTACAGGGATCTGGGGGACATGGGAGGAAACACATGGTTCCTAGCTGGTAGAAGGTGCGCTTTGAGGCAACTAACATTTATCTCTGTGACAATTATCATGTGATGCCTGTTATCTGCTTGCCTGATTAGGTGAATTTCTACTCTGGTACGAGTTTGTCTTGATGTTGCAGTCACCTTCGGTCTGTGAAACTGTTTACTGTGATGACGTTGTTATGTTGGCCTGGTAGGATACTCCTGAGGTGTATGATTGTGGCCTTAAATCTCAAATACACTGTGTTTATGTCTCTGTATTTGTATGTTTGTGCAGGTTTAAAGTGCTGGGGGTAACGTTAATTGACATGGCCTTCAAGCAGACCGCAGCCTCTCGGTGAGCATACATCCTTTCATTCCACTTAGCCTAATGGCACCTCCTGAGGTGACAGCACCAGCAACACTATGTATGGGATACGGCGGCATATCCAGCATTTCAGCACAGCTGGAGTGCTGTCAGGCTGCGCTATTACTCAGCCCTCGCCGTGCCATTTGAAATGTGGCTTTTATGTCGTTTACGCGAAGCATAGTTCTAACACATTCAGACGTCGATATGTTGAAAGTGAATGTCAGAGTTAGAGTTATTTTGCAGCTTCTGCCTCGTCTGTTAATACCTGTGCCACACTGACTCATTTACTGATTTCTGTTAATGAATGCCAAAGAAATTCCCCTGTTCTTGTGCCGTGTATAACGTATTTTTGTTCCAGGCCATTTAAAAACATCACACACTTTCTGACCACACTTTGACCTGCTTATCTTCAGCCGTTCTTCATTAGCTGAAAGCCTACACCCTTCTCTTGGCTCTTGCTTGGGATCCAACACCAGGCAGCTTAAGGAGTGATGGCGAGCTGCTGGAGGGTCAGACACATCCCTGACCTGACCTCGATATCTCATTTCCTCCTTCGTTCCGAGGCCCACGAGCCCAAGGCACACCGGACCGTGGCTCTCTGATACACTCATCACGCGCCTCTGTTGCTCTTAAACGAGTCGTGATTGAGCTGATTGGGCTTTTCCAGAGCCTGTCACAATCGTTTTGATTAGCAGATAGACGGGCAGTAATAGGAAGACTGCGCGGTTATGAGGGGGCCTGTCAGCAGGCCTAGATCATGCTGCGGAGAGAGGAGAGGTTAAAGACACCGCTTCCTCGTTAATAATTAATCAGAGCCCGTGTGGTGGATCCACTCCGCCGCCTCCCAGTCATCACTCTGTAATTGCTTTACATTTAATTTGGCTTCGGAGAACGTTTTTCAAGTTGAGTAAATTGTGCTTAACTGGTAATGTGGAGACTGTGGGGTAAAGAGGGAGGAGTGAAATCGAGCTAAGAGACTGAGTTTGGACATGGTTATGTGTTTGTGGTGAACTTGTTGTGAACATCTTTTTTTTTTTTCTTTGGTAAATATAAGCTCCTTCCAAATTTTCAAGTTGGGACACGAGCATGTTTACAACTATGTTATGTCACCTTTCAAATTAATGGAGGTTAAAAGCCACCTTTTCAGCTGCACAACTGGCCGGGCCTTCGTTATTTTATTTTGTACTCGTATTGTGCCACACGTTTTCAGACAGGTCTGGACTGCAGGCAGGCCATACTAGCCATGCTGTTTTATACAACAGTTAGTTCCGGCCACGCAAGCTGATTGGTTGAGAAGCGTTCAAACTGTGCTCACAAACACTATCACTCCGCTGAGACGCCGTTGCTAAGCAACGACTTTGACAGCTGTAGGAGACGCTCAAGACATTTGAACGTTTTTACTTCTTACTTTGCCACAAACAGAAAATGGACACTTTTAAGATCACATTTGACCGACAGCCGATTTGGTCAGACTCTGAAGATGAGACGACACTAAATTCCCAAACTGTCATCACCACTGAGCAGCTTTTCAGTCGGCAGCTGAGACAGAAGAACAGCTAAACAACCTGGAATCAGCCAGAAATGAACCCAAGACCATTCGTCAAACGTGTAGTCTGATCTTCAGAGTCTGACCAAATCAGACTGAGCCATAAAACTGCCACAATATCAAGTTCAGCTCAGTTTTGTCAGTTTTTACCAGATCAGTATTAGTGTTGTTTTGTTCCAGCCAGTCTGTAAAGCATCTTACAGCCCATTTAGTTTGGCGAATGGTGTTGGGTTCATTTCTGGCTGATTCCAGGTTGTTCAGCTGTTCTTCTGTCACAGCTGCCGACTGAAAAGCTGCTCAGTGGTGATGACAGTTTGGGAATTTAGTGTGAGGAGCTGGAGAACGAACTGCCGGCTGTGCAGCGAGTGGGCGGAGCTCGTTACTCTGACGCAGCAACAAGCTGCTCGTTAAGGAACTATAATTTGGTGAAGGAACTGCGAACATTAAAGCATATTAAACGCCGCGTTCACGGCCCAGTTTATTAATTTATTACTGTATTTATTTAACTGTTGTATTAAAGCAGTAGAACACTCGAGGAGTGTGTTATCGCCAATAACATCACGGGACCAAATCACAGCCGTGATGTTATTTCTCGATAACACACTCCTCTGTGCTCTACTGCTTACATATAACACAGCCACACTGTTTTAACATATGCAGAGTGTGGCAGGGTGTTGTCATTGCATGGAGATATCTGAAAAAGAAGTCATTTAAAAGGCAAAACATTTTTCTTCGTTATCCGTGCCATTCGCCACCATCACACTGACTTTTGAACTTTACCCTGGTAACAATCTGGATAGTCTATTTCTTCTTTGGCTTGTAAAACACAACCATTATTTCCATTAACAGCATGAGAGGGTGACTCGTCAGACCACAGTACACTAAGTGTTAATCCATTTCAGACAAGCTCGAGACCAGAGAAGTCGGTGGCGTTTCTGTACATTAGTTTGTCAAAGTATTCCGGAGCCCATGTGGTGATATCCATCAGAGTTGCATGCTAGTTTTTAATGCTGAGGGATCGAAAGTCACGGTTTAGTCGCCGTTTTTGGCCTTCAGTACAGAGATTTCTCCAGATTTCCTGAATCTTTTCATGATATTATGGACCATAGAAGGTTAAATACCAAACATGCTTGCAGTCTTTTTTGATTTTCATTGAGGAACACCGTTGTTGGATTATTCGCTGATGCACTTTTTGGCAAAGTAGGAGCCTCGACCCACCCTTGTTCATAAAGCAGTAGGCTTTTCCTGGATGCTTTTCTTATAGCCAAGCACGACTGCGTCACTTGTTTAAGGTGGTTTTTTGGGTATTTCACAACATCCTAGTCTTAAACTGCCTTTTTTTGAAACACGCAGCATATATTTTCAAAAAAGGTAAAACATTAAGTATCTCGTCTTTGTGTTGTTTAAATACAGGCCAAAGTGGATTTTCAAATCACTGCTTTCTGTTTTTATTTGTATTTTACTTGCTGTCACATTTTTGAAACTGTGGTTTGTACGGCTCTGCTATTACGGAAAAAAACACATTTCCCCAGCTGACACACTGCTACGAGCCTCACAGCACAGAGCCGTGCAGCAGTCCACATGTACTACTTTTAAATAATATTCCTCTCTTAATATTTCATCAAATTATATTAGAGGCTATTCCAAGAATTTCATTTGTAATGATCATATTTCATTTTAAATTAAGCGAACCTAAACTCCTTTTAAACTTAATTTGTTTAGCATCTTGACAAGTGTAAAAAAAAACCCCTTCATAAATCAGATTACATAATGAAAAGTAATTATTATATTAAAGTAAAATGAGAAAGACAAAGAAAGGGAAAGTAGAATAAGAAAAAGGATGAACTCCAGTCCAGTCCACTTCAAAAAGGTGGCTATAAAGGAGATTTAGACTTCGAAGTGTTCAGGTCACTAAAGACTGTGACTCACTTTCAGATGACTCAGGCGAATGCTTCCGGAGCTGCTAAGAAAATGGCCTCCCAGTGGACCCGCGTAAACAGCGCTGAGAAAAAGGTGGCACACACTCGCATAGAGGATGAGGCCGACATTCAGGTACCAGCTGAGCGTCTGTGATGCCTTCATAACACCTTGAACTGTCTGTCCTGAGCTAGAATCTGTTTTCCTTGCTTTCAGCAAGCCAAGTGCAGAATGTCCCACATATCAACTTCAATGGGTAACTCTTAACTTCTGGCCTGTTATGACATGTAGTGCATTCATAGCCATCTCCACATTGTGACCTTATACCCCTCTCCTCTTGTCAGAGCTCCCCCAAAGGCCTGGAGGCAAATTGCACCTCTTTGTGCTTTTGATTGGCCTCCTCCTCTCTGGAGGCTTCTGACTGCTGTCTTTGCCAAATCCGCAGCAGGCAGTGCTCAGCCTTGCATGCGTCGAGATAATGATCAAGTTAATTAGACCTGAGATTGAATGAACTGCGGCAGCAACTTAATCATTTGTAACTTGATTAGAAATACTATATTCTCTCAAACTCCAGAGACTGGCAAACTTGAAAATTAAGTTCCACTTTAAGGATTCAGGTCTCGACTTAATGGAGTGTGGGGAGGCTGAAAAACAACTTCCCCTCCCTTGCCCCGCCCCCACCGCCCTCATTGTGTCCCCATTAAGGGAGCGATGGAAGGTTGTTTACTGTTAAAAGGGTGGAAAGGGAGATGTGTAATACTTGACCTAATGCTGCCCTTTTCATTTGGATCCCACAGCAAATCTACTCCTTTGGGAGGAAATTAGGTCAAGGTAGCTTTGGGGTCGTCTTTGAAGCCACTCATTTTGAGACGCAGAAGAAGTGGGCTATTAAGAAGGTGAACAAAGAGAAGGTAAGTTTGTTGTAATTATGTTTCATGCTGCTGTTTAAAATGATGGATGGAGGTTCATTTTTTGAAGCGCTTGGCTCACGGTGCTATCTCGTGTCATGTTTGTCGATGCAGGCTGGAAGGTCTGGGGTGAAGCTGCTGGAAAGGGAAGTGAGCATCCTAAAGCGAGTCAACCATGCACACATTATCCATCTGGAGGAGGTCTTTGAGACACCACAGGTAAGGATGAGCAAGGCCAAGCCAGGTGGCAGATCAAACACTGTTTAGTTTGAAGTTTTGTGTATTGTTCCCAACCAGAGGGAGATGAATATAAACATTTGCACTGGCCACACAAGCCACTAAGCCAATGAATCTCATGGCCAAAACCAAGAATTTGTGGCCACAATAATAGAAGCATGTTTATTGTATACACACTGCAATTACAGTTAACGAACATGTACTAAAAACCAGTCAGGTGTTACATTGAAAAAGTGAGGTTACATTGAGTTACAATGAAATTTTCCTAAAAACTTGACATTGATAAGACCGTTGCTGTTGTGGTGACTGTGATGGTCCTCCTTGGCGATCTCGTCCGCCCTGACACGATCCAGACTGGGTTATGTCCTTAGATACTGTTTAACTACAGCAGTGATAGCTTCTTGGGCCCAGTCCCATTTCTTCTTTTTACCCCTACCCCTTGTTTTCGAGTGTCACCCTAACCCCTTCGAACTGAGTTACAAGGGGTAGTGGTTGAAATCTTGCCCTGCTGGACTATTTAAGGTGGAACAGGAAAGTTAGCTAGCTATCTACCGAGACATTAACATACTATTAGTGATTTTTTTAATGCGTGTTAGAAAGAAAACGACCAAAATACACTGAAACGACATTAAACTAAGGTAATACAGCGGTTATTGTAATTTTTAACAGAGAAAAGTCTCACATTTGTGTGTTTCTTTGTTCTCTTGTTCAGCCACCTTGCCGGTTTTTCCTTTTTCTCATATCACTCTGAAAAACCTCCCGTTTGGAGGGTCATGTAGCCCCAACACTCCGCCCTACCCCTCTATCTCAACAACAGTCAGGACACCCTACCCCTAGACGTGAACGCGCAAAACAAAGGGCTAAGGGCTCAGTGGTGGGGCAAGAGGTGAAATGGGACTGGGCCTTGGTGTAACACCAGCTTAATTAAGTTACCCTTTATTAAAAACCACAACGGGGAAATTCCCAGAGTGGTGGGCAGCCCTATCCACAGCGCCCAGGGAGCAGTTGGGGGGGTTGGGTGTTTTGCTCAAGGGTACTTCAGTCATGTCCTGTCGGGTCAGAGGATCGAACCGGCGACCTTCCGGTCACAAGGCTGGTTCACGGTTCCTGCGAAAGACTCAGAAACCCCAGCGCCCTGACAAACACCACAACACTACGCCCCCCTTACTGAAGATAACACCTTATTGTATTTAAGATCTTATTACTTAGAGTGATATTAGCACATTTCAGCCAATGAAACAGCATCTTACAGCAACAGCTTGGCAGGGGTGACCACCACGGTCACCACACCATCACATTAGCTACTGCAGTGGTTACAGTTAACAAATTCTGACAAAATCTAATTTGATGAAGTTCCGTGTCTGATCAAAGACGGCCCTTTTTCTAGTGTTAAGTTCATCTTAACCGATAACTCAACCAATCTTTGTGATCAGATGCTTTCAGGAAACCCAACCTAGGTTTGTTAAAAGGGAAAAATCCCAAAGGCAACCGGAGCCTCAGGTTATGCATTTTTAGTGGCCAAAATGTGAAATGTTGTGGCCAGAAGCATTGGTCCACTCAGGAAATGTTTGTTCATCAGCTGATCAGTTGGATCATGGAAAACATCAAAACATATAATGCAGGACCAAGAGTGTGAATCAAAAGACCCATAGCATGAAGAGACCACTGGAATAAGTGGAACTGTGTGTTTTCCAGAAAATGTACCTGGTGATAGAGCTGTGTGAGGGTGGAGAGCTGAAGAGGCTCTTGCAGAAGAGCAAGCGCTTCAGTGAGGAGGAGACCAGACACATCATCAGCAGCTTAGCTGAGGCCATCGTCTACCTTCACAAAAAAGGTATATCCCACAGAACCTGCCACTGAAATTTACATCATTCAACCTATAATTCGTGAATCTTCACGAACCAATGTTTGATTTTAACACGAATGATTAGCCAGAGCTCACGACAAGCACAAGTGAAAGGGTGGGAGGTCCAGACTCTTTCCAACAGCATTTACATTCACATTCTCATATATGTAATCTCATTATGATTGAATTATTGCAATGATGCCTTCAGAAAAAGGCCTTGTACACAAATTGGTCACATCGTAACCGGATCATATGCAGGACCCTGATTGCTTTGTTCCCACTGACGTCTGATAATCACTCTTATGATTGCACCCACATTAAGGCTCTCTGCCATTACCGGGGTCTGGGCTTGAGACTCCATTCTGATCATGAGATAATAATGAACAACTGCCAGACTAAATATCAACCTATTTTAATTGAGTCTGAGGGGTTTATTTGAAGATACTTTGCAATTTCCCCCCCTTTTTCTCTCTCCTGCTGAAATCTCCAGTTAGAGGCAATTTAGGACGTTGCTTGGCAATGAGACACCATTACATGGGGCTAATGAGTCATTAACGGCGAGCAGGGGAGGAATACTGATTAATAGGTGTGTTTTCCAACAGTCCCCAAGCGTTGGTGTGCCTTACATCTAGAAAAGCTAATGATGGCGATAGCAGTGCGGGCACTAGAGTGCATTGCATAGGGTTATGAGGGTTCACAGTTTTATTAACTACACACACACACTGGTCTCAAGTTCATTATTTTCATTTATGTTAAAGATCATTATGTGCAAAGTCATAAAGAGGTATTATGATCTCCAGTTCATGGTTGAAAGGAGTGGCGTCACCATTATAATGTCAGCCAGCCGAACAGTGTGGTTTTCCTATTATGGTTCTGTTTTAAAGTTTACAGTTCGCAGTGATCCTCCATCATGACTGACTGATGGTTGTAGACATCAGCAGTGTGTATACTGCCTTGTGTTACTTCCAAAGATCTAAAATTTAGACCCATCAGTCCATAAAATGTCCACGTGCACTCACATGTCCAGTTTTTTTTGTTTTAGTGAAAAATTTCACTAAACTTTCTTTAGTGACAGGTTCTTGACAGACCTGTGGATTTTTTCATATCTGAAGCAAAAGTGGAGTTTGATTTTCTCCACCCTCTCAAAGATGAAAGCCTTTTCAACTGTTTATCTGAAGGTGACAGTTTTGTCTACCAGGTGTTGCAAAGCAGTTAGGAGTCCTATTTTCTGTATATCAAACTCCAGTTTTGGAAACTCTTGATAACTTTAATCTGTTCAGAAATATCTCCTTTAGCCATTTTAGATGCACATGAGAAAGAAATTTGAAAGGCAGCTAAGGTGAGTTTGAATGTTACCCTGCAAGAGAGTCAGCGATGAGACAGAGTTGGGCGGAGTTTAACTTTATGCAAATAAGGAGCGAAGCGATGTGGCGATTACCAATGGGAAGTGAGCATTGAGCAGCGTAGTACGCGCTTCATCTCCGCCACTGTGAAACGGTGCGCTCCGTTTTTGGTTTCTAGGTAATTGTTCCTACTACAGGTGGAATAATGGCGGCGGCGCGTTCGTCTCCAGTAGACAGTTATCACAAAGACCAAATAGCGTTTTCCTCACAAACTGACTGCACAGACATGAGGATTCAATTAAAATAGGCACACAAGTGATTTCTCACCAGGATTTTAATTTCGAGCTGGAATGCGTCTGATTTGTGCTTGGAGTCAGTGAAACCATTACAACCAACGGTCCACTCGAGTTCAGAAATGCCCACAGGCGATGAGCAACCAGCGGTTTGGGCGACAAGAGGCAAAAAGTCGCTGCCGGTGTGAACGAAGGGTTAGTGTATCTTTGAAGGGTGACATATTAATGCCATTGAAACTTTTGGGAACCTTTTGTTGGAAGGGCACAGTTGTAGCTGCTTGGTTTTAAGATTTGAAAGATAAAAGGGTTAAAGTGGCACAATAGCTGCACAAAAGTAAAGAGTGAACAAATGAAAAACTCAGGTTTGGTAAAATACTTAGTGTTGAAGTTTCCTAATTTTTTTTTCTGGCACTGGAAAATGAACTTTTACTTATTGGCTTAATGTTTTTGACTGGAAGTTAAATAAATGAAAGGGTGCTCTGTGACTTTTGCACAGTACTATATGTTAACCTTTGTAAAATGTCATTAAAATATTGCATTTCTCATTGTTCAAATGAATTCCTCACACTTTTCTCTTCCCTCACTCTTCCCTTCCTCCAGACATTGTTCACAGGGACCTCAAGCTGGAAAACATTCTTGTAAAGAGTTATCACCACAGCGACGACAACGGCGCAGTCAATATCAAGGTGAGGGCGACCGTGCCAAAGAGGTACAAAAAAACTTTCTCTTCCCTCCTCGCCCAGGCATGTGGTATGGCATTCACTCTCGGCGGGACCTCCACGCTCTCTCCACCGTTGCTCGGCTCTCCCGCCGTCCCGCTTCCTGCCCGCGCTCTGTAACTGCCTTTTTAAACACTGTCTCATTACACCAGACCTCCCGCCTAACTCCTTTTTTATACTGTGCTCTCAAAGAAAAACGAATCGGCGCATAGCAGCTCTCGGAGACAAACGACCAGCTGGGCCTCAGCATGCGGCTGCGGCGGAGGGCTGATGGGAGGTGGCGGACGCTGCTACCTAGAGCGGAGGGTTGAGATGAGCCAGGGCCGGAGGAATAAATCAGAGTGGCCAAGGGGCCGAGAGACAGCGCTGTCCTGGCCCTGTATTACAGCCTTTTATCTGGCAGAAGGTGGTCATCTCTCCAGGATATTTATCCTGCCCGCCCCTACCGGCCCGACTGAAACCATATATACTGCTCATATGTATTATTCATCGGGGCCAGGGGGACGCTGTGTGTGTGTGAGTTTGCTGTGCTAGGCTGAGGCCTTTCCTCATAAGCCAGTTTGGCCCATAAATATTCAAACTGGAGTCTAGACGTAAAGGGGAGATGAAGACGTAAAGAAGATAGAGTGATCAAGCTCAGGATGTCTGCAGTATATTACATTAAAGGTCCAACAGTATAGAATAGAACCTAATTGTGAAAAGCTTTAAAAGTAATAAAGAAGGAAATGGGCAGACTAATCTCGTGCTATTTGTGGATGTGGGTGTGTGTGCATCTCACATTATTGATCTGGGTTCGGTTGAACGTCAGGGGTAGACAGATATTAAAAACTGCACTGGTCACTCAGGCCACCAGAGTACTGAATTATGTGGCCAAAATTAAGAATTATAGAAACACATTTATTGTATTTGCAAATAACAAACATTCTTTAATTTTAAAAAACTGTTTTTTCATTTTAGATTAAAGGAATAGCTCAGCAAAAATCTAATTCACCAAATTTTCCTTTTATCCCATATGCAGGTGGTCAGCCAAGACATGTTTAGTGTCCAATTTGTATTTTGTTTTAGTTTAGACGTGAGCTATGAGGCAAATGCTAGAACTCAGTAGTCACCCGAATAGCTCAAATTGCTTCTGTGAAAATACATCCCCAATCTTCTCTCAGCTGCTCAAACTGAGTCCAAGTCCTCGTTAGGGTCATTAGAGACTTCTAGATGTGGTTTAGACCACAGTGTGACTATAAAAATGAACAAAACGTCCCTATTATGAGCAGCCATTTCAGACAACACTAGTGCTAGTATTCTCTGAGCAGGACTGATCTTACATCAGATTCCTCTGTATTTATGACTGTCACTGTCATAAATACTAATTGTAGATCACCACTCCTCCTGAGGTGGTTAGTAATGGCACCCAGTTGTCTAAAGTCATATCGTTCCTTTAATAAGAGCTCACACACGCTCTTGGCAGTTCAGCAGTCCAAGGCTTCTCCAAACGGGAGCGCTATTAGCATTCAAGTCACTTTTGTGTGCTTTTTAAAGAAATGTTGAGTTTGTTTTATTATTGAATGTCGTTTTATTAAAGATTTTCATGTTTAAAAAGCATGTGAGTGCAGGACAGCATAGAAAGTAGGTCTAAGCTGAAATGGACCGTGTGTGTGTCTCACGAGAAAATGTAAAATAAAAATAATATTAATTATTTTTTTTGTGCCTGGTGGCGGTTAACCGAATTATTACAGTAACAGTCCCCAGTTACGGTAAAACCTTATCTACTGCCGGGTTAAAAAACATTTGTTCATTTATTGATTTATTTCATGCAAACCACTGCAAGACAGTACTATTCCAACGTGCTGGGTGAGGTGATAAGTGCGTTCTGTGCTGCACACAGATATCATGAAAAACATCAGAAATAATGACTTCATGTCTTGGGAAAAACTTGGTAACATCGGGTAAGAAATCATTTCTTGGCTCTCGTTCATCAGGTGAAACAGCCAAAGTAGCTTTATAAAAGAAGGCATCAGACTAAATGACCACAAACAGTGAAGTTTGTGTAATATTTGCTGACTAGATTAGTTACGTTTGTTTATTTGACTATAAGTTTAAGCTCATATGCTATCATTGTGTTTTCTCCCGTATACACTTCAGTGTATGAGGCTGTCCCAGAATTACTGGAAGAACAGGAAACAAAAACACCCAGCCCAGTTTTACCATTTACCGCGGTTATTTTCAACACAATTACTCACACCTCGTTACCAGTACAGTGCCCAGCCCAGGCCTAGTGTAAAGTAGTTGTTATTAAGGGTGGATATATGTCAGTAGCTAAGTTGTTGACCTAAAATGCACTAAAAAATAATTGTGATTTTGGCTGCCCAGCAGTTTGTTCCCATCTGACTGAAAGTTGCATTTGACATGTTTCCGTTTCTAACTTCATGTATGTTGCAACTTCCCCAAGCTGTCCATAACCTACTGATGATGATATTTCTTTTTATTTGGTTATTTTACTGTGTGGTAGGGGTGCGGGAAAAACTCGATTCTTAGATGCATCGCGATGCGGACGTGAACGATTCTGAATCGATTCATAAATGTCAAAAATCGATTTTCTAAATATTTAATTTATAACGTGATATTGACGGAACGCAAAAGGCGGAACTGGAAGTGGGAAAGTGCAGCGCCCGGACAGTCTGTGGGGCACATAACAAAAACACTACTGAGTGAGTGAGAAATCCGACCGGCTCCCTCTGCATTAAAGCCAGGTTAGATCAGGAGTCACAACACAAATGATAAGAAGAGCCGTTTTGTCCTTTCAGCAAAGTCAAACCACCTTAGGAGCCACAACATTTAATGTCCAGTGTGTGTTAATGTCGTAGTATGGGCTAAAAATATAAACGAGAGCGCAGATTTACTTCCCTCTGCTTTAAGCTTCAGCTTTAGCCGCTTTTCCTCCATCTCCGCCAGAAAACCTTTTCTCCAAAACTAGAAGAGTTTCTTGTAAAATGTCTCAGCGTCCGGCTGTTTTACGTGGCTGAAGTCGCTTCTCGTTCTAATTTTCCCGTTCCACCTTAAATTCTGCCTTAGGCGCCGAATGTAACTGCTGTGCCATTTAAGGTGGAACGGGAAAATTAGAAAGAGAAGCGAGTTCATTTTCGCAACTTTTTAGAGAAAGACAGTCTCTCAGCAGATTTAACCACCGCGCTGCTTATAAACGCGAATAAGTCTCCAAATGTTCGTCTTAATCTCTGTTTTTTCGTTCGCTACTGGCGAGGCCAGACCTCGGGGCTGTGTGACCTGCTGTCTGCTGTCTGTTCTCGGTCGTTGAGAACCAGGGCTTTCGCGCTATGCTGCACACTTTGGAGCCGAGATTCAGCGCCCCCACCAAACCGAAATTATAAGATCACTAAAGAAAACGGGAAGGGTGGCTGTAACGCGCTGCGTGGACACCCATTGTCCCTGGATCTTATTTCAGGGCAACAGCGCATTTTATCGCAGATGAGTGGCAGCAGCGTCTCTGAATAAGAGCCTTCTAGTTCACTTGCCACATCACTTCCATTTACATTATTGATCATTACAAATACTTTGCTTTAAAACTACCAAGTCCTCAGACAGTCGGAAGATAGAAATCCTGTATAGAGAAAAAAGATGCATCGATAATCGTTTTATTATCGCATCGCAGCCTCTGAATCGTAATCGAATCGAATCGCGAGGTGCCTAAAGATTCCCACCCCTACTGTGTGGTAATTATTTTTCCATCCAAACTGAGAGGCCATGTTTCTCTGCTATATAGAGCTGTTTGAGCACTTTACATTTAGAAAGACTGTACATCTCTCTCTGTAAGAGCTGAAAAGTGGCAGCATTCCTTTTAAAAACACACTCGCCTCCTCCTCGGGCTCACTATGCCTCTCCACCGAGCGGTTTGTGTTTGTTTGAGTAAAAGGCGTGTGAGAGAAATCTGTCACTAAATTTATACGGAAATGCATAATCCAGTGTAGGTTTTTGCAACATTTCAGGTATCAACAAACGTTTTTTCTGCTAAAATTAGACAGAAAACAGTTTTGTCAACATTCATTAAATATTACTGAACATTTATGTTTACGTTCAAAATAAATTCTCGTTAAAAATCAACCAAAACCATAGCTTATGTGTGAAAACTGGTGTGATGGCTTGTTAAACGGAAAAAAGCACAAAAACATCTCCAGGGTATGTGGCCACTTGGGCCACAATCTCTTCATTTTTAGAAAATGTGAAATGTGGGCAGGAGCACCGGGCAGTAGGCATCGTTGACCTCTGCGTACAGTCTTTATTTAATACCCTAACTTTCGCTTGTCTTTCTGTCTCAGGTCACAGATTTCGGACTGTCTGTTCAGAAGGGTGGAGTTGGCAGTGAGAACATGCTGCAGGCCACATGTGGAACACCCATCTACATGGGTAACATACGCACACATAAACACACTTTTGCACGTATCCTCCGTGCTCCCATTTGCTTGTCATTTGATGAATTTACATTAGCTGGTCTAATAAGTTCTATGAGAGCTGATTAAACCGCAGCAGTGGAGTGGGGCTGACCTAATTTAAGTGATGTGAAGCTGATAGCATTTCAGAAGAGGAGCTGCAGCTCAAAGCCGCAGACGGCATCAAACATCAGCCGTCAGGCTTCAGACACCAGAGAGGCCGCGGGCGTCTTTCATTATTGACGTGTGTCTTTGCCCTCTCAGCACCTGAAGTGATCAATGGCCACGAATACAGCCAGCAGTGTGACGTGTGGAGCATCGGTGTCATCATGTACATGCTGTAAGAAGATCCTGGCCTTTCATCATCTTCACACTCACACACGTACATGCATGAAACGCAAGCCAGGCTTGTGCATGTATACGTTCACAAGCACCCACTCTTTCACACTGATAACCATTCAGTTACATGCACTATACACACGCTGGCCACTACCATTGTCTGTTTTCTCAGTCCCACTTACCATACAGGCGCACTTTGTACTTCTACAATAACACGTTGTAGTCCACCTGTTTCTCTGCGCAAGTTGTTAGTCCCCCGTTACTTCATTCATCAGTGGTAAGAACCCCCACAGGACCACCACTGAGCAGGTGTTATTTGGGTGGTGGATCATTCTCAGCACTGCAGTGACACTGATGTAGTAGTGGGATGTTAGTCAAACAGCCTTTGTTCCTGGAGTCTATAAACAACTCAGTGTCAACTCACTGTACTGAGAATAATTCATGAACCAAAAATATCCTTACAACAGTGTCCTGTTGCCAGAAGCAGACCACTGATAAAGGGATGACAGAGGATGACCCACAAACTGTTCAGCAACAGACAAGCTGTCATCTCTAACTTTGGTGGACCAATAAGATGGGTGTGTCTCTAACAGAGTGGACACAGTAAGGGCTGAGAATGATCCAGCACCCAAATAATATCTGCTCAGTGGTGGTCCCATGGGGGTCCTGTTCTTAATGAACAGGGTGAAGTGGGGCTAACATATGCAGAGGATGGACTACAATCTTGTAGAACTATTAAGTGCACCTATATTGTAAGTGGCCCTGATAAAATGGACAGTGAGGGTAGTAGAGACATGTTAGGTGTGAGGGTGGGTGATATCATTAAAAGTATCATTAAAGTCATGGTATCATTAAAAATCCAAACTTTGCTTTATTTATGTTTCAGTGACCCCTTTATTTTAAATACAGGGCACCAAACAATTTCATACCATGCTAATATGATTTGTACAAAAAATGTTACATGTTCCTTTTTTCATTGCAAGCGCTCAATTTTCCAGTTGTCTCAAATGGAATCAGTCATCCAAGATACATTTAGTGTCTTGTTTGCTTCATTAGCCTTGCATTGGAGCTGTGTTTCTAATGTAGCTGGGAGCTCTTACCGTACCAAGCCTCAAATGACAGTCAAAGAAATACCATTTTTACATAAATGTTTCATAAAATGGCGGAGTTCATTTTTTTCTTTAACCCTGCCTGTAGGCTGTGTGGAGAGCCGCCCTTCATGTCCAGCTCCGAGGAACATCTTTTTGAATTGATCAAGAAGGGAGTGCTCAACTTCTTGGGTCCTGTGTGGGATACCATCAGCGATGCAGGTTCACCTCCCTCTATGGCTCGTACTACGTTCCTCAGCTTCCCTCTGTGGATGATGTTGTTACATTCTTTGTTTTTCTTCAATAGCAAAAAAGGTGCTGCGCTGTTTGCTGAAAGTTGACCCGGCACATCGCATCACAGCTAGTGAGCTGCTGGATAACCCCTGGGTCACAGTAAGTGCGTTCACTTCAGTATAAGGTCTTCTGACAGATGTTACCCTTTGTTTTAAGATGGGTATGGCTATTGTAGGTTAGTGGAAATTGGAAGTGACACATCAAATATCTGTGTCTAGGCCTGTAAGTAAGAGAATGACTGAGACGTAGACTTCAGATTAATCTCAGACGGCTCCCTATCTGTGTAGTGCACTACACAAATCTCAAGATAATGGCTTCTACACCGAAATACTACGCTTTATGACGGATTCCATTAGATTCAAACTAAATGTGTTTCAGGGAGACAACTCCACGAATGCGTCCCCCACTAACGTGCTGGAGATGATGCGGCAGTTCCGGGATGCGCCAGAGGATGGCGAGAGCGACGAGCCGAGTACGGGCCTTAGCAGCCTCTCCCTCAGCCGTTCCCAGGACAGCCTGGCCGAGCCTGCGGCTTCCCCAGAACCTCCTACTGCTCCTGCTCTTGTTCCCGCTTCCGTTCCAGCGCTCAGCCTTGAAGTCGACACAGACAGCAACAGCAGCAAACCTTCCACGCCCACTAAACAGGTAGGTGATCCCCACTTGCTTATTTGTGGACTGTACAGGTACTCATCATGCGCTTCAGTGGCCCATTCCGCATACTGCACACTGTACATCCTGTACTTTCTCAGTCGCTTCCTGTCATGTAACAGAAAAAGAGGAGGTATCATTACCTTGACATATCACAGTCACACCAGACAGTTATCACACACCCTGTGTTAAGCTCAGGCCTCAGCCCTGAAACTACACTTTGTAAGCACCCACTATGCTCCATTTGGAAAGCAGCATTCGCCTTGTTTTGCCAGTTTTTGTTCTTTATTAGTAGAATCTAAACAACCTGAACCATCTTCATCTTATTAGTATCTCGGAAATGGTAAATAATGACACAGCTGTGACTTAACCCTTTCACTGCAAGCGCCTACATACACACACACACACACACACACACACATCATCTAAACCACTTATCCTTCTGGGTCACGGTGGGGTGCTGGAGCCTATCCCAGCTGTCATCGGGCGGAAGGCAGGATACACCCTGGACAGGTCGCCACTCTCTCTCAGGGCAGACAAGGGCCTGTATAGTCATGCAAATTTGAACACCCTGGTCAAATGACATATTTTGTCAGTTTTCTAAGTGAAAATAAGCCAATATATTGAGGAAAAAACAGAATATGAAGTATAAAATATGGCATAACTTTTGCACAAGTCTGCATTTTATGTTATATTTTTCCCCCAATGTGTTAAATTCAGCAAATAGGCAAAAAAACAGTAACTGTGCATTAAAATGTGCAGATGTCTCTTCTCTGTAGAGGATGTGTACCTACTTTCACTTCAACAAAACATGCAATTTAACCAGGGGTGACCAAACTGGGTGCACACTTCAAATCCTTACTGCACAACTTGCATATTCGTGTCAGTAATTCATTGTAGTTCCTAAATGTTGAAACGCACCACAACTGATAATACATTTCCCAATGTATCATCTACTGTAGCGTCAGAAGAAGAAAAATTCCTCTTCTTCTTCCAATGGTACAAAGAAGAACGGACCTCCTGTAAAGATGTGCAACACTCTCAGCTCGTCCAGTGCACAGGTCGGTCGTTTGTGAGTGCTCAGGTCTCTGAAAGTGCAGAGCCAGCTTTCCACAGTCTGGAGCAAATTTGAGTATTTGATTTGTAATTTGCCAAAATCATCTGAAGTATTGTAAAAGTAGTAGTGCCGTTGCAGTAAAAGCAACCTACAGTGTTGAAAAGCTGCCACTAGATGGCGGCAGCATCACCCATGAGCAGCAGCGCTGTGCGTGCCACTCCCTCAGTTTGGCAGCCTCAGGCAGAGGGCCGGCGCTCGCTGCTCCCGTGCGAAACGAATGTGAGTGTCTTATCTTTGCAGTCCCACACAGGTAACAAACCCTCCGCTCAGCCGAGTGCAAAGCGCCACGCCCCACCGAACAAGATGGAGAGTCTCAGCAGCGGCGGCAGGGCTTCCTCTCCCAAACCAGCAGGACCAACTGCAGCGGCGTGCCCAAGCAAGTGCGAGAGCTCATCACTACACATCCCCAGCCCCGGCCCCACAGACCACCGCCCCCATAAACCAGGCCCCAGCCAGAGGGCCAAGAAGAACAGCTAGGCCCCAGGCCGAGCTGCGGCAACAGCAGCAACCGAGGCTGGCGGTGGAGCAGCTGCGCCGAGTGCCAAAAGAGAGGAGTGCCGTGCCCAGGGTTTGCTGGGGTGTGGCGGGCCTGCTGGACACATGAGAGCTTCGTAGGGTCTTTAAGACTATACCTTTGGCTTAGGTGAGATCACTAGTGCTGTAGCTGTGAGCCCATCCATTCACGTGTGTGACAGATGACTGAAAGGATACCTAGAGCCCCAATCACCTGCCAGTGATTTCCCATGGACAGTCTTTGAATGAACTGTACATATCTCTCATCTGTCAAGGATGAGGTACTTTATCCTCAGCTCGCAAAAGAGAGCAAATACCAGTTAAAGGAAAACCAACCTGCTGCTTTAGGTCCGTGGACTATTTGACAGCTGTTAGAACCCAGTGAGCCTGTCTAGCTTGAGCCTCATTTGCCTGACCTTCTGCCAGTGAGCAGACACTACCTGAGGCACATTAATTGAATATTTGTTAACGCAAAATGCACATATTTCTTGGTTGAAAGAAATAAAGAATGTATCGGAGGTTTACAGGGTTTGGTAGCTCTAGTTTTGGCTTTAGATCCAATGTCACAAGGCCTTAGATGACATTGACATTAATGACATTTACGCAATGGCTTCAACAATGCAAATGTTATTTTATAGTCTTAAATATGACCTAACCGAGTCGAAGACGTCCTTTTTGCCAAATCATTAAAGGGAAACTCATGTAAAACTGTTTTACATGTCTAATAAACACTAATTCATGCTCCTTCAATTTCATTTTCCATGTGTATTTTGCACAACCTCAACCGGGGTGAGCGGTGTGCCTAAAATATCACGACACATCAAGACATTTTCACACCACACATTAAAAACAAAAGCGCTGCTCTTTACAATATGATATCAAAAACTATAAATACTTAGTTTTCATTGTACATCTCACACACACTGCACTGCACTAAATCTAATTAAACAGGGCAAATTATGCTCTATTTTTAATAAAACATGCAGTTCAGTGTTCTTTAAGTACAATATTGTCACAACAGCATATTGTGGCATGATCATGATAATGATAAAATATTGTCATATTGTCCACCCCCAGCTTCACCTTCTCCATTCTCTGAGCATTATTTTTATTTTATAATTTCACTTAAATGTGACGGGCATCTCAAATTTAAATAAAAGCATTAGGCCATATAGGGCTTTAACATTAGCCATTCGATATCAGTATAAGCGGAGAGCAGCAGGGCGGTTACCATGAAAAGTGCAGGATTGGGAGTCGGAGTGAATAGGACTCTAATCTTGTTTGGATGGGCATTGAAAGCAGCAGGGGATACTTTGAGGACTGTGCCACTCAAGCACTGGTCTTTCTGCTGGAGAGAATAATCCTTAGTATGGATACAATATTAAAGTAGTCAAGCAGAACTCACTGAGGCTGTGTTAGAATCCTATTTGCATTCAGTAGTGTGTGTGTGTGTGTGTGTGTGTCAGAAACGGGACTCTTTGAAGGTAAACGTGAGCTATATTTCTGCTGCCGATAATCTGCATGATAAATTTGTTCATTGTGTGATGTCGTCTGTGCCCTGAGACGTTAGAGTGGAGCATGTCATGTAGAGTATATAGAGCCACTCATCACTGGAGCTTTCACTGTTGTATTTATTTATCTCGCAGCCATCTTCAAAAATAGGAACAATGAAGTGACACTTCCAATTAGTGCACACTTCCTGTTGAGGTTCGGAGAAACTTTTAGGGAAATAATGACAAATGATGCCACCCTGTCGACAAAATATATTGTTTTTCCCCATTGAGCTCTATGATTGTACTCTGAACTGGACTTCTGAATGACTTTGGCCATTGGATTAGGCTCCAGAGTGATGCTGTTGCTGAGATAGAGGCCAGAAGCACAGATGCACAGAATGACAGATATATCCTCGAGGTTACCACCGGATGGCGCTACAAAGAGCCCCAACAACTATCCTCCTCAGAATGGTAGACCACACTAGTTTGGCGTTAGGTTTCCAGTGTATTATGTTTGCATGCTCAAATTTGATGGATTGCGGCGTTAAATAATCACAATGTATGACTGTGAACGTTACCTGCGTGTGATGAATCATCTCAATAACTCCTGATCTAGGACTTTCCGCATTCCGGTTCGGCTTACCATTAAGGCGGCGTTCGCCACCATCGGTCGGAATTTCAGCCAGAACTGCTCTGGACTTAGCGAGGAGAGGTCTCTGTAGATAACAATGATTCATTCAGTTTGAAAAGCGCCCCCCCCATCCCCCCTCTTCAAAGCAGTGAGCAGAATTTGCATAAGGTCTGTTTAGACAACCTCCTGTATGGCTAATGTGTTGTCAGAGGCTGGGATGGGATTTCAACATATGGTCTTCATTTTCTCGTGCCAGAGTTCTAATTCATTATAGCAAGGAGCGAGAGAGAGAGAGAGAAACAGAATGAGAGACAAAGAGAGAGAGAGAGATAGTGAGAGAGTGGGGGGGGGGAGCATTCCCAAATTGAATTGTGCTGGTGGAATGTGACCTGCAGTAAATTATGAGAGTGCATCTGCAGGCCTCGGGGATAGAGAGACGAAATTTAAAGAGAGCCGATGATTGGAGAACGTAGGGAACGGCGGAGCAGAGCTGATATTTTTATACTCCTTCATGCTCAACGTACGAGGCCAGGCTTTCATCTGGCGTCAAAGTGGGCTTTTTTTTTGTCCCCGAAAGGTTTTAGGCAGGCTAAACTTTTTTTCTGCCAAAATTGGGAGAGTGCAACGCAACAAGCAGGGGAGCATGGCAGCTAAGAAAGGGGGCGTTTGTTTGGGACGAGCCCATGGAGGCAGAGGAAATTAGAAAGGCGGCCAGTTGGAACAAGGTACTCCTTCCTCCTCTTCTCCAGCTGTATAGCCTGACAGATGGGCACCGGGGGAGGGGGGAGGATTAAAACTTGGTGGCTCCTTTTAGATCCTGGAGGTTGAGGCGGAGATTGGGCCTGCGGTGCGACCCTGGGGATGGTGAGGGGTGCAGGGGTGCTAATGTCATCAGAGAGAGACAAAGAGAGAGAGAGAGGAGAGAGAGAGAGACTCCCTAATGCCTCTCACCCCTGCCAGACCCAGCATCTCCTCAGCCAGGGGAGCTGCATCTCAATAACCTTAATGGAGGCTCCCTTAATTAATCAGCTCATATGCAGAGATCCGATACCTGCAGCTGAGACCCCCCACCCCACCTTCCCTCCCCTCCTAATGCACGGCATCCTCACCGTGCGGCCTGTGACATTGTAGTAATGAGCTAATGCGGCTACAATGTCAGTCCCAACGTCGAGCAGACGTTATCTGTGGGAGCTCATCGCGCGCTGATGTCCCCGATCCCCTTCAGTGTGTTTGTTTCCTGTGGTTGGGTGGAATTTTTAGGCATTTTCTAATTAAGTTGGCTTGAAAAAGCAAACTTACTGTTCTTCGTGATATTATTATTATTATTATTATTATTATTATTATTCTACGCTCAAAAAATAAAATGTTTCTCATCCCACAGTTTTCGAGCTAGAGCCACGAAATTCGCAGGATCGTAGGGCCCATATCTGATTAGGTTGTTTCTGCTTTTCTAAGGAATTCGACGTACGATTTTCGTAAAATTATCGTTCAAAGACAACATTCTTGCCCATAGGGTCGGGACATTTAAACTAACAGCCAGAGTGGACATCTCTCACACACACACTCACACACAGTACACACGGACTCACACGCTCAGCCTAATGCACAGCAATAGCAGCAGAAATAATGAATTTAAGGTGGAACTTCAATTAACATAGCACCAAATTTAAGGTGGCAAAGTAAATCAAGGTGGAACTTAAAATAACATAGCACTAAATTTAAGGCAGCGCAGAATTTAAGGTGGAACTCCATTTAGAGTGGAACTAAATTTAAGGCGACACAGAGTTTAAGGTGGAACTGCAGTTAACACAGCACCAAATTTAAGGTGGCAAAGTAAATCAAGGTGGAACTTAAAATAACATAGCACTAAATTTAAGGTGGAACTCCATTTAGAGTGGAACTAAATTTAAGGTGACAGAATTTAAGGTGGAACTGCAATTAACATAGCACTAAATTTGAGGTGGCACGGAATATAAGATGGAGCTCCTTTTAAGGTGGAACTAAATTTAATATGGCACCGAATTTAAGGTGGAACTGCAATTAACATAGCACAACATTTATGGGGACACAGAATTTAAGGTGGAACTCCATTTAAGGTAGCACTAAAATTAAGATGCCATGGAATTTAAGGTGGAATTTCATTTACGGGTTAGGGTTAGCATTTATGGTATTGCAGCATCCGCTACATTTTAACAACCATCAACAGTCTTCCACCGTTTACCGTTTTACCATGATTAGCTGGCTTCTTTAAGTTCTAGTTTAGTTTTATACTTTGTGCAAAAAGTAGCTAAAGCTGATTCACATTCTGTAAATCAGTAGTGAAAATGTAGTGAATGCACTGGTTTTGGATGTTTTTTGTGGAAGCTCGTTGCATGCGCTGATGTCCTGTATCCCCTTTAGTGTTTATGTACAGTTTTGTGCAAAAGTCAGAGACCACCCGTCATTCTGTCAAAACTACCGTTAAGAACAACTCATTCACTGATGCAGAGAAAATGGGACTCTTAACAGCAGAACCACCAGAACGGTCACCATCAGATTAAAAGTGCTAAAGCTTTCAGCTTTGATACAGGACAGGCAGAGCCATGCTGGCAGGAAGGCTAAGGTGAACCCCAAGGAACACACAGAGGCCAAACACGGGTGCATTTATTTAAACATGAGAAACAAAATCAAATACTAAACTGAAAACACACAGCCTGAGTTCAGACAGCTCACTCTCCAGCCAAGGTTCTCTCCCCTAAGTCCTCTCTCCAACTGGCTCAGGCTGACTGTCCTGGCTCCTCCCACAGTCAGTCCCTGCTTCTATAATCAGGGGAGGAGCCTTACACGCATGGCTTGGGGTA